TTTTTTTAAGTGGCCTTAAACTTCCAGACTCCCTGTACAGACATGGATATGAACCAGGGCAGATTCCTGGTTAATGGCAAAAGCGGCTACATCCTGAAACCAGCCTTCATGAGGGACGTAGCCACAGAGTTTGACCCCATCACCCTGACCCGAGGAGACTGGCTGAAGCACAAGACCCTGCATGTCATGGTGAGGTCTTCATTGTGCAGACACACAATGGAGTTATTTGATTTCCTTTGAGTCCCGTTTAAAGTTGAGATCATTCTTCACCTGCCAATAGGTCATATCAGCTCAGCAGCTTCCCAAAGTGAACCAGAAGAAGTCCTCCATAGTAGACCCGCTGGTTAAAGTGGAAATCTATGGAGTGCCAGCTGATGTCGCAGAGAAAGAGACCAAACCTTTTGATAACAACGGTACCTCACGTTCACGTCCTTTGTTTTATTTTAATGTGTCCGCGATGAATCAAGACAATACAAAATTTTCTGTTTTGAAGGCTTTAACCCTTCCTGGAATGAGAACTTCCAGTTTGACGTGTATGTGCCGGAACTAGCATTGGTCCGCTTCAGCATCGAAGACTATGACTCCAGTACTGATAATGACTTTGTCGGGCAGTACACGCTTCCCTTCAACAGCTTGAAAATGGGTGAGTTTTGCTGTATTTGTCAAGTCCTTTTTTTTCTCCTTACTATAATCCAGTGATGTGAAACCACTGATAGTCAGTTATTCATTTATGAAGTGTGAAAACAGAGATGGGGAAGTGTCCCTTCTCTGTGGTGTGACATAGAGAACCCAATTCATCCGCTCCACAAGGAGCACTTCATGTTGTCCTGTGCCATCACTGACCGCAGCCCCTTTGTGCTCCCACACAGGATACAGACACGTGCCGCTGTTCAATAAGAACGGAGACCTACTCCCCTCAGCCGGACTTTTTGTACACATTATGGTCCTGGATGCCGAATAAGAAGTCTCCAACTCTAGGACCTCCTTTCTACAGCCATGTTTTAAATTTTTATCTTTCATTTTGGCTTCACAGTTTTAGCTCATGATTAACTTATTGCTTTAATTCTAATCAAAGTCGAATTGCGACTTTTCTCTCTTCAGCCTAGAGATTCTGATTTGCAGCTGAATGTTGGTTGTATTGGGAGGTGGGTACACATGCACACGCTCTAGGGCTCCCTAGACTTTATAACACTCCATGTATATATGACACTTCACTTTTACAAATTGGGTTAATTCGTACAAGCAGCACTCACTACATACCAACTTCAGTTTGCATTAGGATGGAACTTTTTAAACTGCTTGTCCCTTATTTTTAAGTCTGTTCAATGTCTTTTTTTTTTCCTTTTTTTTTAAAACCTTTTCATCTAAATGACAATTTTGACTTTTAGAGACACACAGGCCAATGTGAAAGCTATAGTCTGTTTTCATCAGTAATTTTAGTCATCCATTATGATCATTTCTCATGTAACATCTTGACTTTGCCTCTTTTTGTAAATCAATATGAACACATAAAAATGTTAAACACAATCATCATCAAGCACTGTATTCATCTATGACTTAACAGTCCTCATCCAGTGGAGCCACAATGAATGATGCAGCATTATAGTCCTTATAAACCTCCCCAATCTCCCAACTCTGTGACAGCGACGATACCTGTATATACCAGTCTCCGGCTGAAACATCTTCATGAACTATTTAATTTTATGCAAACAATACTAGAAACCAGTTTGCAGTGAGCCACATCTGCCTTTCCCTAGAAGGAAACTACCTTGTGAACTTTGGATACACCCTATGTAAACAGTCACAGCAACGATGCACACAAACGGAGAGCTCCTGTTGAATGAAAACCTTTAGGAGTTATTTTACATCTTAATTGTGTAAAGTTGCTCAAAAATAGTTTGTACAAAAACGCATCGCAGGACTTCTTCCAACAGACGGCTATCCTTTCCACCGTCATCAGCTTCACAAGAGCGTTTGGTTGTTGCTAGACTGACAGTTATGTTAGTCAAAGCTCTAAATATCCACCGTACACCACCAAACAAACTGAGTTAACCATGTAGTACCTAAACAAGGTTAGCAGAGCCCAAAGGTTAATCACACCGTTACCATCTTTCAGCTTGTTATAAGAAAACATGAACCCACCGCTGCCAGCTCACTAAGACAAAACAGAAACAGATGGTGTTAGTCTGATGACAGAAGACAGGCAACAATCCTCCAAAAATGTGCTTTTATTGTGACATGTCTGAAAGGAACGGTAAAAATAAATCAGGTCGACTGTAAAAGACAGAAAACGGTGACATTCTCAACTTGCAGTAAACATACCATATGAGGTACAGAGATGGTGGAAAACGCAGTCACGCCAGACTGAAGTGAGGATCTTTGGCCTTAATTCATGAACCACATCAGATGTGTGACAGGGGGCAGAGGAAGAAAAGAAAGGAAAAAAAAGACATGACAATTGTTTCAATGAAGCCATTTATTAAAGAAAATAAAGGGGGAGAAGGTGATGCTCAGAATGACATGCTGCCAAAGTAGGAAAAGAAAAAGTGAGGAAATTGATAAAAAAAAACAAAAAAAAAACTCAAGTGTTTTAGAACTTTGGTGTTAACTTAATACAAAATGAAGAATGTGATTATGAGTGAAGTGACAAAAGGAAAAGTGAAAGGCAGCACACATGAACGAACATACACACACACACGCTCACAATCGTCCCGATAGGTGGGACGAGACCTGACTTATTTTTCTTACCAAAGGCAAGAGAGCAGGAAAATACCGATCTGAAAGGATATAGGAACAAAAAGCTGGATATAATGGGTAATATGCAACTTTTCAAACCCAAATACTGACAACATGTAGGTAGAAAAATATATCACAATGATACAAACAACATTTTCAGAGAAAGGTCATCATTGAGAGGTTGAGAAGACCAAACGCTCCTTATTTAAAAACAAAAACATTGCACTGAAACCATCGTGAGCTGCACACTCGCAACACAAATGCTTATGCGAAGAGAATGAAAATGTCTGAAGGAGCAGCAGCCTTTTAACTGGGGGCGTAAAGTTGGAAATTATTAGTGTCTCTTAAATATAAACCCACAAACCAAGCAGTAAAGGTTTGTTGGAGGCAAACAATCCCTAGATGGCACCATAGAGCTTTTCACATCCTCCATTTTACTGTTACACAACCCACCAGAGCCAAATATGCTCTACATATATGGCTGATCACTTTTCGCACTCCATAAGAAAATACTAGAGATGATGCTAAAACAGGGAGGTGTAACCTTGGAAATAATGAAGAAACATTGCTTTGTGCCTCCACAGGCAGTAAGGCATTAATGCCATGATGAGGTTGTTCACAGTCCTGATGCAGTGCCCCAGTAGTGTTTCATTTAGAGCTGGACCCAAACATTGTTTTTGGAGGAGGGGGCTGTCTGGATGGGCCCAGACTGAGCACCCATCTGCAGGCTTGGAAGGCGTCCTTTTGCTCCACAACAGGGGTTTCTTACTATAGAGACACAGGTAACCACAATTGTCTACCTTTTCTGAGATAAACCAATCAAAATTCAAGTTGTTTCAGCACTGCAACACTTACATGTCACCAGACCAAAAAACAAACTAGTAGATCTAAATATTATATGGATGTCCGGTTTCTGGATCCACTCATGTGGACAGAGAATGTTACAGTGGTCTTACTTTAACAAACCCTCACTGGTTAATTTATTCAAGTGCTCTAACCCAAGTGCCCAAACCACCCTCCCCCTCCAAAATAAAAGCGGTTATTGCCATGGAAGCTAATGTTGCAGCATTCGGTTTGCTGGGCTCCTCTCTTATGTAGGCACTGAGGTGAAGAGCAGTTTAAAAAAGGAAGGGGAAAAAAGGAGTCTGGGAAAATAAACGCCACAGGTGGCATTTCCATTAGACTTTTTTTTTTTTTTTTTTTTAATTACAAGGGCTGGACAAGGGCAGGCCACCACTGTACATCAGGGGAATGGTGTGATTTAAACACTGTCCAGACTCTGACACTCAACCCTATTCTGTAAAGACACTGATGACATGGAAAAACTGAAAACATGGCACTCGACCTATTTGCTGTAAGATCCTGGACCAGTTTAAAAACACTAAAGAACACCTTTGCAAATGTGTACAATTTCAGAGGAAGTTCTGCCCTCTAAGGGTGAAGCTGCACCACTTGTGTGCATGCACACACACAAAAGGGTTTTTTTTTTTAAGTGATTAAAAGCTAGCCATCTGATCTTGTAATATTAAAACAAACAAATTTGACATCTATTTGTCAAAATAATAAAACCTATCATGTTATTCTTACAACTAATAGACTAACAGTTGTAGCTCAACCCTGGTACGGATATGAAGCCTGTTTAAAAAAAACAAAGAAAAGAAAGAAAAGTTCCTTATTTGGCAAATTATTAAAAAAACAAACAAACAAACAAGGAAATGGCACATCTTTAGCCGAGCTTTCAGATGAAATTATCAAGCGCAAAGAACTACTGGACTTGCTGCAGGTGGGGCGTGAATGTCACAACTGCATACATCCTCCGTTTCCTAAAACAAAATCAACCATTTCTACTTATAATGAAAGCTGAAAGAAACAAAGTCACATCTATATAATGGCACAAGCTTACTGGGAAAACAGAAGAACACTATGAGACAACTGCCCAGCGTTTGATGACCAAAAAAAACAAAATAGTGAATTCAAACTTTCATATAAAGATATTTGTGTGTCCACTTTAAAGCATATCTGTATGTGAAAAGACCAGAGTACTCTGGAAATATGCCATGTAGAAAATATCTCCCCATATAAACAACAGTCACACAAGGCACTTCATTAAGTATGAAAAGAGAATCACAGTCCTTTCTACTACCAGAAATTGCCTGCATAGCAACAATATGAGGACAAAATCTTTTCAGACTTTTGTGTGGTACCACAAAAGAAGTCTCAGACAAAAAGTTGTTTTTGTTGTCGTTTTTTTTGTTTTGTTTTTTTTCCTTGCGTTTAAAATAAGCACTTCACCAAATAGTAAAACTTGGTTGATTTGAAAATAAAGATTAAAAAAAAAAGAAAAAAAAGAAAATAAAGATTAAAGTTCGTTCCTCTTAGTATTTTGTCCCCGATATTATCAGCTTAGGACACTCTACATACTTTCTGGTGTGGTTTTTATTATTTTTGTGAGACACAGTGCTCCTGGGATTTTGAATGTTTTTGTTTTTCTGATGGCACTCAGAAGGCAGCCGGTCGCCAGGAGATGAGATCAGAGACAGGGTTATGATGTTTTCCACAGTGAGACTCCAAGGCGTCCCCTTAGTGTGGGAGGATCTGCCCAAGTCTGAGAGATACGGTCGTAGAAAGGAACAGAGATCAATACAGGAGACTGGTGGGCACAGGCGGTAGTGTGGGCTGTCCTGCTACCTGCTCCTTAGATTCTGCAGGACTCCGTAAACCTCTTCTTCTTTGCTGAGTCCCTCAAAGAAAGGCAGCAGGTCCAGGAGTTCTGTGTCATTCATATCGTCAAACCAGGACTGAACTGGGACCTGAGGAGAGGCACAAACCACTGAAAGTTAGCCTTAAGATGTACAGCTGAATGACAATTACAGCATAAAAATGCAGACACGTTAAGCAAATTAGGAAAAGTACACTACTGGAGAAAATGAATTCTAGTGCTCTTAATAAATTATTCTGATCCTGATTGATAAATACCACAAGAAACCAAAGAAATTATGTAACCGCTCAATAACATGATTATTTTAAAGACGAGAAGCAAGTACTTTAAAACAGAAACTAATCACTGACACACAAGTCAGAAACACAAAACTAAGTTGTATAATAAAAAACAAAACAAAAACAAAGTATGAACATTGTTATAAAATGATCTATGAGCACAAGAACTTTCTTAGTGTCTGCCCTGCCTCACAGCCAGGGGAAATGTGATGGTGAGACAAAGCTAGAAAATGGTGTGGAAGATCAGTGACCAACTCAGCATGAGTCCAAAACACAGCTGCTGCAGAAATCAGAAGAAAGGCTGCAGAGGCCATCCTCCTAAAATGATGCCACAGGCAGTGAAATACCTACAGATACAGGTATTTTGCATAATGTCACACTCTATGGAAGGGCTTCGGGAAGAAAATAAAACCAAAAGGCTTAAGACTGTCACGTCTGGCTCAGTGAAATGTATCTGGTGTAAGAATGGCCAGGATCACCAGAGACAGTGAAAACCAGAGGTGTGAGTGTGATGATGTGAAGCAGCATGAGAGCAAAAGGTGTTGGACAGACAAAGACACAAATGACATTTAATAGGCGGCACTGTGAATGCCTGAGGCTACACCAAAATACTAACTGCAGATGTTTGACAAAAGAGAGGATTATTCCAGCCAGGTGACGTTTCAAAGCACACTGCTAAAATTACACGAGATTCTAAAGAGAAAAAAAAAAAGAAAAAACTATGTCCTGTACAAGTATGAGGCTTATTTAAATCCAAAAGATCACTGCTGGGATATTTTCAAGAACCCC